GAGATGTTGCATGTGTGAGGGATTTGCGATTTGACTATTGTTTTTAATGTAAAAGTTCGCGAGAAACACGATGGTGCCACTGGTTTCCTCTGAAATCAACTCCCAAGCTCAAAAAAAGCTCTCAAGTTGAGGCCAAAATGGAGGAGATATCCCACGCTATCCTGAGAGTCCACCTCTACATCGAGACAAACTCTCCATGCAAAGATAGGGAGCAAATTCATGGGCAGGGTTGCCGTGTTTTCAGTTTTGGAGTCCTCAAATGAAGTGGCAACCCTGTCAATGTATTTGCTCCCTATCTTTGTATGGACAGTTTATCTTGATGGAGAGGTGGACTCTCAGGGTAGGGTGGGATATCCCCTCCATTTTGGCCTCAACTTGAGAGCTTTTTTTGAGCTTGGGAGATGATTTCAGAGAAAACCAGTGGCACCATCGTGTTTCTCGCGAACTTTTACATAAGAAACAACAGTCAAATCGCAAATCCCTCACACATGCAACATCTCCATTCTGAACTGCATGAAACTACAAATTTTGATGCTTAATCCGTCACATTTTAAATTCTGAGGAGTGCTCCTGAAAAAAAATCTTACATTGAAACCAATGCAACCACTTCAAGGCCTCGAAGTTTAGTGTTAGCGGAGTTATAAGCGTTTAAAGTTTCCAAATTTTGTCTGACCCTATATTGAATCGATCCAGTGTGCGGCGAGGGAGACGCGACGGCTGCGGCGTTTACGATCGCTCCGTGGGTACGTGGACGTGGATGTTACCTGATGGCGAGTGTGTGACGTCAGCCGCGGAACTTGCCGAGGACGCACGACTCTCGAGGCCCGGTGGAAGACATGCGCTTGGGTTTCGCACTCGCACCCGCACCTAGGTGTGATTACCGCACCGGCCATCCGCGGCCGGGCCCGGGGTCCGGCTCGCTGATTCCATTAAGTGGTCCGGTCGACCCGACCGGCATCGGCGGCATCGACAGCCAGTCCGCGGGCCCCGGTCCTTCCTCGGGAACGTCTGCCGGGGAGATTGGTGGACTCCATGTCGATGCCCGGGTCCCGGGTCTGCGCCGGACCCGGGCCAGGGGCACCGAGACTACGCACTCGCGTGGGGCGCCGACTCCAGGGGCACCATCATTTCTCGCCTTTCATTCATTTATTGCTCAAGAGATTACCATTGTCCTTTTTCCTCCTCACCATCTCATTTTCCTCCTTCTACTTTTCCTGCTTCCTCAACTGCACCCAATAATTCTCCTCCTTTCTTCGCGCTCACGTCTAAGGTCTTGTCCACACGAGCGCGGTTCGCGGAACTTAGTTCGGGGAACTTGTTCCCGAAATTAGTTTTAGCTAAGCTAAAACTTATTCCTCCAAACCCCGAAACTTCCCCCGTACTCCGAGCATCTGTGTCTCTTTTTTGTGAATTTTCTTGCTTTTGTTTTTTACGTCCTTTATGTCTTGACGTTGGCTTTTGTTACTCTCGCCGTGGTAACCTATTATTTTGCGATAACTGTATAGTATTTTATTGAAGTTCCGGTTCCAGTTCGGGCGAACTCGTGTTGACAGCATGCCTCGTTTCAAGGAACAAGTTTCGGAAAACTGAGCAGTTCGTCGAATAAGTTCCTCGAACCACACTCGTGTGGACAGGACCTAAGTACTTCTTCTCCCTCTTTTCCTTCCTCTTGTATTGCTTCTTGTTCCTCTTCTTCGTTTTCTTCTTCATCATCGTCTTACTCTCCACCTTCTTCCACTTCTCCTCGTGCCGAAAATCAAATCCAAAATCTTAAAATTGAGTCAATTGTATTGATTTTTTTTTTTTTTTTTTTTTTTTTTTTTTAAATTTGCAACTGATCTCGATACCTCAATATCCGCGGTCAATTGAAAACCGTACTTTTGTGTTTAATATAAGATATTCCAGTCAGCCATCGATGTTGATGAAGTGAAATCCATTGCAAATTGGGAAGAATACGTCCGCTTAATTTTCAGACCGTAGAGTATGATTTTCGTCGACGACATTCCTGAATTGTTATTGATCCAAAGATTGAACCTTCGATTTTTTCAAAAAAATCTACTTCAAGGTTAAAATTTGATATAGAATGCATTGCAACGATGGATCCGTCGCACAACTACAAGATAAAGCACCGACGCGGCGTAAATGTCATAACCACTCAAGTGTGCGAGAAATATTTTCCGCGGAATTTCACGTGAAATTCAGGAAAAGCTCATGACAGCTCATAGAATCCCCATGGACTCCCTTCGCGGCCGATATCCAAGGGCGAAAAAAATCGAGTGGAAAAACAGGTCGCGAATAAACTAATCCCTGCGCGGATTGGTGAGTTCGGGTGGAATTCGGAGACGACAGGGAATTTGCCTCCTTTTCCGGTCGGACAAAAATCCGAACGAAGCTTATTTATCGATTTGCCGTCAAAACCTGGAGCAGGGCAAGCAGGGCCAGGAAGAGACCGGATGAAACGAGGATTGTTCGGGTCCCGGTCCCGGCCCCGGCTCGGGCTTGACAGCGATGTGGAGCCCGTGTCCACAACTGGAAAACCAGCCTCCTCGCGACTTGGCCTCAGACTCCCGGTTGCCATGCTGCTCTCCACATTGCCAGATTTGATCCCAGCTATCCTTGAACAATCCACTTCTCGTGGAACATAGAGTCCCTTTATACCCAGAGTTAAGACAACTCACTTTTGATTGGGCTGAAAGTGGCCTAAAAAAAAATCCAATTCTGATTGGTTCTCGCTCATGGAGGCCGAAACGAGTGCACCAAGATGGCGGTACCTCGAATGTGAACAAGAATATTGAAAATATTACCTAATTGTGGTTTATCAAGAGTAAATTGTTATTTCCATCGGTCTGAATTAAAAATAGATTAAGAAATTATTCACAAACCAATATCATTTTCTTTTTAATTGATCAGTTTGTTGATGTTGTTTTTATGTGACAGACATTGCAGGATTCCTGATCCTTATCCCTCAATATCGTTCGTCTGGGTGCACTCGTTTCGGCCTCCATGGCCAGCCAAGGCCGGCTGCCAGTCAGCTGATAATCGGGTTGTCTTAACTCTGGGTATAAAGGGACTCTAGTGGAACAGAGAATATGGATGTGTCGAAGGCAAGTAGTCAAATCAGGCATTTTATCTGGAAATGCCTAGGCCAGTAGTCAAATTTTGACAGTTCACGGAATTCTGTATTTTATGGCGAGGAGTTAGCCAAAATACTTGGCAGCTCTAATAAAAATATCATGCCTTAAATTTTAAAATACCGAATACTTCTACTATAATGAAGAGCAAATGTTATAAAGTTACCAACTTTCCCAATAGTTATGATTCGAAGGGCGATTCCCAATCGCTACCAGGAAATAGTATATCTTTCCCGGATTATTTCTTTTTCAGTGCAATAGTACTAGATTATCGATAATAAATATTACGGGAGAAAATAGAAACTTCCTAAAGTAAAACTTCCTCAAACTAAAATAAGAGGTAGAAACAGACATTCTTCCGTCCAAAAGCTACGCATCCCGCTTTTAGAGCAAAAGATGTGTGTTACGATTTGATTAACATTGAAAATGCTAATTGAATATTGTCGTGCAAAAATCATTTTTCCAGTTTTGAGTTTTGAGTTGATAATACTTTTCAGAGTTAGGCGATACAACCATGAAAGTGATGTTAATACTCAGTTCAGAGTTATCTTAATCTCTGAATCCCGAAACGAACCCTTGCAACACTTTCCTGGCTGTATCAACTTTTAGAAAGTATTATTCACATAAAAAAACTGAAAGCTGGAAAAATAGACATCAACGGTTTCTGCATGACACGATTCAATTGAAAAAGGGGGAGGGAAAATTCATTTTTACGTTTCACAAAATTGGACAGCTCCATGCAGACACTATTTGAAGGATATCTTTTCTCAGCCAAAATAGATGTAAGTTTGAAAATATTATCTAGATTAAATTATCTTTGATTTTGTTTTAAATTTTGTAGCCTACAACTAGATTTTTATGGGAAACGAAGTGAATAAAATAAATTTTGTTTTGGGTAAAATTTGAGTTCAGTTAAATTTTATAGGTTTATCATATCGAAACCGAAGTAAATTTGTTCGAGTTCATATAAAAATAAAATGATAATTACATATAATACGTAAAATCTTGTCCTAATTACTGTCATTAGGCTGCGCAAGCCAAAAGCTTGTGACAGAAATGGCATGAACATAACGATAGGACAGGATGAAGAGGTCTCCATCAGACGCTTGACGCGCCTTCAATTTCAACGAACGACTACAAGCAAAACAAATCTCTCAGCGGACTACGGAGCATCGAGTATGTTTGAACGCGACGGATTAATGGTGAAACTCCAGCCTGATCCGGTAACTCATGTTACCACGTGATCGAATTAGCAAACTATTGGTATTGGCTGAAGTACCCGACAAAAGCGAGGTATCAAAGTTAAAAATTAGAGGTGCAGGCTACTGAAAAACCGTCCATATCCGATCAACACGTTGGAAACAGTGGCGTGGCGTGCTATGCCGGCTTTGCGATATATCGAGCGATTTGCCATTTAAACCTATGGGAAAGGATCGATAGACAGGGTATTCGCAGCGAACACCTTAATAATAGATTCTTTACCATAGCTTTAAATGGAGAAATAACGATAGTCGATCATTCACGCCTGGCCACTGGTTGGAAACCTGCTCTTATATATTTTACAGGTATTTAAATTTCTAAAAATGTAATTACAAATTCAAAATTTAGCAAAACGGATTATAATAAAGTAAAAAAATTGGCGGATGTTTTTTTCCAAAAAAATGTTCCTTTCTCAGTGATTTTTAGCAACAAAAAGTTGATGAAAAAGATGGAATAAAGCGTAAAATAAGTTTTAACGTCGTAATGTCTAAAAAATTGTCGTAGCATTCCCTCTGCGGTTTTATTTCCCTTTAAGCCGTTTTCCGCTCACCTTAAAATGTAAATATTTTTCAGAGGACAAGAAAATAATTAATCGATATTAAGTCTTACCTAATCTATTTCCGGTCCGCCTTTTGACTCGTAAGCAAATCGTCCGCGATCGAATACACTAGGAAGGGCAAAAAGAAAAAAATAAATTTTAAAGACGATAATCTTAAATAAAACTATACATGATAAAAAGTGCTGTAACAAGATCCAATCGTCGATAAATCAGGTTTCCTATAAATATTGTAATCTCAAGTAAAATCCAAAAATAGATGAGACTTGTGCGAGGAAACGGGAGGGTCGAGTTTTCCTTCGGTGTTTCAGATCAGCTAAATTAGTGGGAAGTGGACTAACGGACTTTAAATCACTATGACATTCATCCAAATGACAAACCACATCCTAAAAATCATAGAAATCTATTCCGAACGAATAATGTATGTTGAGAGTTTGAAAACTTGTCAATCTACTGCATTGAGCAAAGATACTGGATCATTTTATACTCAAAAATTTCCTTTATAAAATTGGATTTTATTTGCTCTACAGATCTATCCACGAACAGACTTTGAAAAACAGCTAAATGCATTATGCTGCCGTTGTAGGGAAAAACGCCGTATGAACATTCAAATACTGCCAAAGTACCCCCGATTAACGATTTATTTTGAAAAAAGTTGTGCATATTTTTCTTCGGACTTATCAAATTACCTAGATTCAATTGCGGGAAAAATGTGCGAAAAATTGGAAAGAATTGGATCCCAATAAGTTCGTATTTTAACGAAGGCGATTTGGCAACACCGAAATGCTCATACGACGTTTCTCCTTAGTATGGCATCACGGTGCTTTGGTGTAAACACAATTTTTAAAACTTTCTTTACGAGTAAATTTCCTCTGCTCTATTACGATCAACTGGTCATATCAAGAAGTTAGTGGTGAGTTACACTTAAATCTCGCTCTTCCATCCGTTGTTTTTCGGAATTCGATACGAAATTTCAAGACAAAATTACTTAGCTGTGTGAGTTTAAATCATTCGCGGATCCAGCAAACTGGCAACGTTGTTTTTCTCCATTTGAACCCATAGAAATGTATCGATTCTTTGAGGGGCCACATGCTTCGACAAGAATCGGATATTTAACATAGGTTTAAATGGAGAGAATCCGGCGTTGCCAAATTGCTGGATCCGCCTCTGATTTGACTGGATCACAAGGGTTCATAGGATCACATTTAGCAAAAAGGGACCAGCGCGATTACAGTGTTGTAAAAATGTAGCTCCTTCATAATTATCTAAAAAATCTCCTAAAATGGTTTTTGCTTCCTACCTTAAAATTGTTAATTTTATAGGAAAGTAATTGTGTAAATTTTAATACTGTCCATTTTTGGAGTATTTTTTCAGAAAAGAAGAAGTTGCACAGTTTTGAAAACACTGTAATCGCGCTACTTCCTTTTTGCTAAATGCAGTTCAGTATTAGGTCATTAAAAAAGACTGACCTGATAAATGTGCGACATGACGTCTGCATACGCCTTGTCGTCCATTGTTGTGCCGTTGACCTCCAAAATTTCATCTCCGACTTCCAAGTCTGACCTGTCAGCCGGTGATCCTGTAACATGAAAGGGAAGATGAAACTATGATATTCAATCACTCATATTGATTATTTAAGCATCAGTATGAAACCTGGGAAGTAAAGAATTGAGGTGCTATCCGATGAAACGGCCCGCGAGGAAATTTTTACTTTCGGCACAGGGGTCCAGAAAGTTCTTTGGAGAAAAACCTCACTCCGCCAAAAGGTCAAATTTATGTGCCATAAATAAAGTCATAAAATAAGCATGCTTTTCAGCTTTTCCCCATGTTTTTCTATTATTATTTATCGTTATTATCTATAATTATCTATACAATTTTTTAAATGAAGAGAAGAAAATAAGTTGGGTTTTATGTAATGTTTTATCACATTAAATAACAATAATTCCAACAAACAGTACAAAAACTTAAAAATCATAAGTTGAAAACCGCTAACGCTACAAGTTTGAATAATCGCGACGAACACAGTGCGGTCGGCACGGGGCTGGCGCGCACGGTACGAAAAATATAATAGCCCCTTACAAGGCCGCAGGATACTTCATGCATTGCGCATACAGCTTGGTGCGCGCCTTACGAGTCTGCAGGATACTTCACGCATTGCGCGTATACCACGGTGCGCGCTCAAGTCGTTGAAAAGTCGTATTTTCTTGGTGTTGAACCTTCTTTGCTGCATACCATATCCAAACAGTGCTCACCGCGTACCGCCTGAAATCCTAGGAACACAGGATTCTGGGGATTTTGCAATCTTGAATGCTTTCCGGTGAAAATATAATTTACGAGTGGAAATTTTTCAAGTTGGAATGCTGTCACCTTCTATCGTCCGGAAGATGCTTAACTTAGCTAACCTCTAGGGAGGGAAAGTGGACATTTTTTTTTTATCACAAATTTAGCAAAATTTCCAAGGATATATTCCTGGTATCACATTCACACAAAAATTTACTCTGGCAATCCAACCCAATTAACTTCGGCAATTTTTGCAAAATGAACTAGGTACGCCTACGGCTAATATCGAAAAATTATGGGGGGGGGGGAGTCCACATATGTCTATATAGTCGATGTCTATATAGCAAAGCCCAAGAAATACGCGTTAGAAAGTTTGAAGTGCTGCAGTTCAAAAACTAGTGGGTTCTTTTAAGAAATTCAGAACAAAATGACAGTAAAAAATGGGTTTTTTTTTTACAAAAAAATAGTGTTTCAAATCTCCTTTTCTCTCAATATTTGTACAATTGGGTTCTTTTGAGAAATTGAGAACGGAGTGACAGTAAAAAATAGTGTTTCAAAAATTACTTTTCTCTCAATATTTGTGACGAGATATATTTACGATGTTCTATGTGAGGCCCCCATTATAATCGAACGACTTTTTTTTACCTCGATTAAAGAAAGAACAACTAATAGACTTTTAACCTTGTACACAGAAAAAGTGCAAGGGCTATCCCCTGAAATTGCGATATACCTACTGCCCTAATTTATTGGATGATACGGGCATTTCAGATTGATCGTAATTAGCGCAACTGAAGTTAGAGTAGTACCGCATCATTTGAGTTAGCGGACCTAATTTATCGCGGCACTGCTAAAATGAATCGGAAATGCCCATATCATCTAACAACCCCTACCTCTTTTTCCGTGCATTTAACGTAAAATAAGACAAATTTTTGATCAATAAAACAGCGCTGCTACCAAGATATTAAGCGAAGACTGCATTCAATGGATATACCATACTGGGGGCACGAATTGGTGTGCGCAGTGTTTTTACCACTCTCGGTCAGTCTGGCAAGAAACACACGTTGCTTACTTTTTTCAATGCGTGTCTCTAATTCCGTCGAGCCTTCAATAATCGCAATGGCAATATGGACGGCTTGAGAACACGAACACTTCGGTTGAAAGAACAAGCTGAAATCGCTTGGTCATAATACAACTATTTGTGCTTTCTGGACGTCCGTGTTGCATACACACAAAATTGAAGGCGTTCTGGTTTACATATGTACAACGTATGGTTGCGACCGTTGGCTTAGAGGGTTGTCTCCAATGCATTTGGAACCGTGTTCCCTTAAAAAATTCTCGAAATTCGGATGACTTGTGTAGCACCATGGAAGAGTTGCCAAATGGTGCAAACTTCCGGAAATCATCTGCCGAGAACATTTTTATAAATGCACTGCGGACGTCCATCCCGCAAATCACGGCCTATGAAATTTCCGAAATTTGCGCTCAAAATTATTGTTTGTGCTCGGAACGTTTATCAGAGATCATGTTAAAAAACTGAAAAGCCACAGGAAAGTTGGGGATTTTGATGTCCAAAATATCTGAAAAGTCAAGAAATTTTAGAATCCACGTAAACTCGTCACCCTGCAAACAGCGAAGATCACGATAACGTGATTGCGTTCGTCCTTTCCGATAACCGTCTCGCAAATCACACTATTTGGCAACGCTGCCACAAAAGAAAGATAGTGAATAATCAAAAGGATACGATTCATTACATGTGAAGATCCAGAAGAAGATTGATAGTGTAATTGCTGTTAAAGCTAGGTGAGTAATTGCCGTATAAATTGAATACCTGGTCTCTATTTTATTATATAGATTATTACTTTAAATATTTCTTTTTTTCAGTTTAATCAACTTCTCAAACTTCCTATCTTCCTGCTTTGACACCGTAGTATGAATGCAACGAATAACACATTTTGTTATCATAAGCGGAAAAGATTGTAGGCGCTCTGGCTTCTTCAACCTTCATGTCTGGATACAACTATTCGTGTTCTGCGGATGTCCGTGTTGCATACACAAAAAATTGCAGGCGCTCCGGTTTTCCTCGGCACAACGTATATGGCTGCATACGTATGACAACGTGTGGTTGTTTCAAGATTCCACCTAAAGGTGCATTTTGTCTGACTCCGCCATTACAAACAGTGCTGCCGCGTTACCAAGCGGAACGGTAAGGGCAAAAATAAAGATTTCAGGAAAGTGACGCGGCAGCGTCTAGACGAAAGAATTTATTGGACGAATCCTCGGCTTTTCGAATCATTGTCAATAATCATCCAGAGCACGCTTCAATTTTGTTCAGAGAGTGGAAAATCAACAAATTTTACGTGCAACTGTAGAAAAAGGGCCATAATATTTAGGCAGAATAGGAGTGTATACTCACTTCTGCATGGTGATAGGACATTATGTCAAGGATTTTTTGTCATACTAAGGAATTTTTTCATACTAAGGAATTTTTCTGCCTCAATCGAGTCACTTTTTTCTCTAATGAAATTTGAATGTTATGCTAAACTTTATTAAATACGGATGCTAGGACTTGATGAGTTTTAGGACTATCGCTCTCTTTTTGTGCCGTAGCATCTTGATTTATTTTCCGGAGAATTCTGAGTATTCTTAAAGGATGCCCGTCATTCTTAATATGTTGGGGCGCATTCAATTTCGAATGATACTATGCAACACCTCTGTTGTGAAATAGTTGCTTGGGGCGCCATGCCGCGGCACGGCGAGCGGGCGCCCAGAGCGAGACGCGCATTGGCGCCTACAAACCTAAGTAGATACTTCAAACACTGCGCAATGCGTGAAGTATCCTTTTAGGTTTGGTAGGCGCCAAAGAGCTTCTCGCGCTGACTGCACGCCGCTCCGCTCTGCTTGGCTGTAATATTTAAACTCGCAAAGTCAGCGTTTTTCAACTCATGATTTAGAAATGCCTGCACACTCTGCATGGAGTATTCTCATTTCAACTGATGAAAAAAGATATGTATCAAAGGAAAATATATTGTGTATTCTGTAAATATTAAGGTGATTCCGTGTTAAATTTAATGATTTTCAAAGCCCTCTAATTTTTTCTTTCATATTTTGTGCTTTTACTGTGCCGCATGTGCATTTGTTTTGGTCGGGAACCACCGAAAATCGATACGTCAAATGTCGCAAGAATTACGTATTCACCAGATCAGTTTAATACAAAGACGGATCCAGCAATTTGACAGCACCGAATTCCCTCCATTTAAACCTATTTTTAATAATTGATTCTTGTCGGAGCACCTGGGCCTTCCAAGAATCGATACATTCCCATAGGTTTAAATGGAGAAAGACGATTTTGCCGATTTGCTTGACGCACCAATAGTTTAATATTAACTTGAGTAGACTTTGCACAAAAAGAAAGAGATAGACTCACCGTATAATTTGCATTTTTTATCCTTAGTCTCCACCAAGATGATGACATATCCACCGAGGTCCACCATTTTTCAGATACAGTCGAGAAGTGGTCTCGTCAACTGGATCCAGTGAAAGTTCAAGAGGAAAAAGGTGGTTTCATGGCTGAGACACTCCAAATGTCGAAGGAGGACATTTCCCGGACCGAACGGTTTGAACCAAAGCCGAAAGTTGCGAGGATTCGGCCACAGCAGAACTCCATGGCGCCGGACCGTAAAACATACTAACTCTGTCCCGCGCACCAATCAGAACCACGCTCGCACAAATACCGACTCGAATCGTTCGATCGAGCTCTCCTCTCGATAAAACAATAATTTGAACACAGGGGGATAGAAATAAAATAGAATCACAGAACGCTTTGAAACTTCATCATCGAACGAGACGGATCAGCAGGCAAATTAGACAGGAGTACTACCGTAAGAACCGTAGTAGTAACCGTATGTACAATATACAATCGGATATATATTGTAAAAATGATACAATATATTCTCGAACACTTACGCTACACTTTACACGCGAGAGCGAACGCCACAATCGCGGCGTCGCTCGGATTTGGCACTGGAATTCACGACCGCGAGCGCGGTAAAAAACAAAACGAAAACAAAAAGCTTGACCGAAAAGGAAACGAAAACAAACGGAACAAAAATCACATACAAATCGAAACCAACGGACACTAAAACGTGCGCGAAAGGAAAAATTATCTCCGAAAGTCACATGATTCGGATTTGAACAAGACCGATGGTTGCAGGCGAGTCAGTGGCGATGGATGGACGAAGCTTCTTTCTCCTCATCCTCCTCACTTTCTTCGCTGTTACCGTCTTTGGAGCTGCAGTCAGCCATTGGAGCGGTCATCTTGGCTCATCTTCAATGGTCCACTATGTAATTCGTTCCAAAGATTAATTGCATATTGCTTTTGATTACAGCAGTTTATCAGTTCGTTGATCAGAGCTCCTAGGGTTTGTTCATGGATCTCCTTGATTGTTGCATGCTCTGGTTTGTTTATCTGTGTTTTCCCTTGAAAAAAAGAGATAGCAAAAAGTTATATAGGTAATTGGTTAGGTGCGAAATGGGAAATGGGGGTGAGAGGAAATGGCTGTATGCACTGTGCAAATAAGGAAAAAACCGACCCCTTGGAAATATGGGTCAGCTCTATGCGCGTATCAACAAGATTCGATAGTGAAAGTTGAAAAACACGTTTACGACTGCAACGTTTAAAATTTCCGAGGCTTTTCATTTGATTTTTTTCTACTTTGTTTTGTTAACTTTCTTCCTGTGTTAATTTTTTTTATTTTTTTATTTCGTTATTTTTTATTTTATTTTTTTTCTTTTAGAAAAAGGACGGACAGATATTTCACAGAATATTCTGTGCGTATGAACTATAAGAAGAAAATCAGGAAAACTTATGTTTACTTGGCTCAAGTCAAATTACATTTTTTTCAGCTTTCACCATTGGATTTTGTTTTGATGCTTGAATTTTGAAGATTATTGAAAAATAATCGGATCAATCCTCGGGCCTGATTTGGATATGATGTCCGATGTTAAGGGAGAGGTCATTGCCCTCAGCAAAAACTTAGGCACCTTTATTTGATGTTCTTTTCTTCATTGTTTTTATATTGAGTTGCAATTGACTTTATGTTTACTCCTGTTTCCCCTCGAATAAAATCAAGGGAGCATTTTTGCGAGAATGTAGCAACATCGTCTCGTGAAAAGTAAAAATTCAAAATACCTTTGAAGGTTTATAAATGAGCGAAAGAATGCAAAGGTACGTTTGCATTGCATTTTAAATTTAGATTTGATGATAAGTATGGCAAAAATACTTGGGAGTCAAATGAGCGTCCATCTTCAATGGAAAGAAAAGAAAAGAAAAGAAAAGAGAGACAAAAATATACTGCGATTTTGTGATCATGTATCACACCGGTCAAGAAAAAAATCGTGCTGTCGGAAAGATAGGACTTTTCCTGATATATTTTTAGCGCTGACCCCATAACCGGCCTTTTTTAGTGAATCAGCTGGCCGATTATTGAAATTGACAGACAAAGCTATAGATAAAGATGACAAAAGGAATGTAATAAAGGGATCCTGTTGGTGGAAGCGGGGGTATGGATGCAATGGACAAAGTAGGTAGGTAGGTAGTAGACTAACTAACGGCAACCCATGAGAGACCCTTTAGTTAGTCCATCATTCATCCCTTTAGTCTATAAGAACCACCCATTTCAACCAATAGGATCGCTCCATACTCCTTATGTCTATCAATTTCAACAATCAGCCCGCTGCTCGGTTTAACTCGAAAAATGGAGTTCATCGGAACCACCTCTGACAATCCATGCAAAATGCAAAATCGGTATCTGTTATCATTTTTAGCGACAACCCTCGTTGATAAGTAGGTATTATCAACCCTCTGCAGGTACACACCCGAGGGCAAGAGAGAGAAAAGACCCCCTTCTCATTTATCCGTCAGGATCAGGGTTATAATAATTGACCCTCACTGTAAAATATACCTCCTCCTCATTTAAACTTTTTTTTAAAAAAAACATAGATTGTACCATACTAACAAAAGTTAGTTACTTCGATTCGGGGCGGATTTTTGTGCGTAGCTGCTGCTGCAAGAGATCAAACGTGTGAGGTTATCACGAACCATAATGGTCAGTATCAGGGGATCATTCCCTTGCTTCTTCACCCCCCCCCCCCCCCCCCCCNCTCCGCCATGGTGTGCATGCAAATTTTGACATTTTTTCGACGCTTTTTTAGTTTCTAATAACTATTCGTATTTGTCATCAATGCGTTTAAATGCAAATAATTTCAGGCTCAAGAATTTTATCAAGTTTGATGAGCCGTTTGGGATATTTAGATTTAATAATTCCACGATGTATAGAATTTGAGCACAAAATACGGGCAAATTGGTTTTAATGCCGAAAAATGCAGTTGCTAGAGAATAGAACTGAATTATAAATTGAGAAGATACTCAAGAGCGGCATTTCCTTATGGGAGGGGAGAATATTCTGTCAACCCCAAAACCATGAACATACCCTTCATCTCGCACAAAATAAGATTTCAACTGACTAAAAAATCGACGAGTGATACACCTGAACTAAATTCATTGAAAGTCATGTTGTATAGGCCCAATCACGATCGGGAAAAGGTAGGTGCGCCTGAATTTACTGGCCGATATAGTTGAACAAAATAAATAAATCCCAAAGAATACGTGTACGTGTGCGTCTAGGTCAGTGGCGTAACGGGCGCCCCCGCAGACCCTGCTATGCAGGGGGGCCCAGGCGTCAAGGGGGCCCTCGGCCGCCGGAATTTTTTTTTCTCTCTCTATCTTTGATGCTTAGCTTAGGTTTCAAACTTTGGGCATTTACTTACTGAGATGGGGCTTCTTCCTCCGACTTTTATTGTTAGCTCGGGGTTTTTCATACTTCTTTCGGACTGTTCCGAACTTTTTAGTTGCTGGAGGGCCCCTGCCTTCCAATGTCCACTCAGTGATTACTAAATTGTTTTTCTTTTTTTGTCACTTTTCGTACTTCGGGCTTTGGGAGATCCAATAATCCTTGGGCCAGGGCTGGGCCCCCGCCACCCTTAAGATCCTTGATCCTTTAGGGGTCCCATATTATCGGGTACGGGATCTGGGACGGTGAGGGGTGAGGCAGTCCAAGTCCGTGATTTGGGATGCCTCGGGCCAAAANCAAAATGCAAAATCGGTATCTGTTATCATTTTTAGCGACAACCCTCGTTGATAAGTAGGTATTATCAACCCTCTGCAGGTACACAGTACACACCCGAGGGCAAGAGAGAGAAAAGACCCCCTTCTCATTTATCCGTCAGGATCAGGGTTATAATAATTGACCCTCACTGTAAAATATACCTCCTCCTCATTTAAAATTTTTTAAAAAAAAACATAGATTGTACCATACTAACAAAAGTTAGTTACTTCGATTCGGGGCGGATTTTTGTGCGTAGCTGCTGCTGCATGAGATCAAACGTGTGAGGTTATCACGAACCATAATGGTCAATATCAGGGGATCATTCCCTTGCTTCTTCACCCCCCCCCCCCCCCCCCCCCCCNTCGCCTCCGCCATGGTGTGCATGCAAATTTTGACATTTTTTCGTCGCTTTTTTAGTTTCTAATAACTATTCGTATTTGTCATCAATGCGTTTAAATGCAAATAATTTCAGACTCAAGAATTTTATCAAGTTTGATGAGCCGTTTGGGATATTCAGATTTAATAATTCCACGATGTATAGAATTTGAGCACAAAATACGGGCAAATTGGTTTTAATTCCGAAAAATGCAGTTGCTAGAGAATAGAACTGAATTATAAATTGAGAAGATACTCATAAGAGCGGCATTTCCTTGTGGGAGGGGAGAATATTCTGTCAACCCCAAAACCATGAACATACCCTTCATCTCACAAAATAAGATTTCAACTAACTAAAAAATCGACGAGTGATACACCTGAACTAAATTCGTCGAAAGTCATGTTGTATACGCCCACTTACGATCGGGAAAGGTAGGTGCGCCTGAATTTACTTGCCAATATAATTGAACAAAATGAGTAAATCCCAAAGAATATGTGTGCGTGTACGTCTAGGTTTAACATGGTCACGATCTAATACAACTGCACTTTTTGAAAAATATTACAGACCCTAAAAGAACCTAGGTTATGGCTAATGAATGCATGCCTCTATGCATGTTGCTAAAAAAGTCTAACACGGAACTAAAAATAATTTTATTCTAAAAAAAACCCTCTGATAAGAATGATTCAAATAGTATTTTTTTTGCAAGAAAGCCCGAATGCTCTCCATCACGTACTTTAAACTAGCTCATAACCTAGGCGCCAATGATTTATATATCTGTGTAGACCCTGTACACACCAACAAAAAACACCATGAGCCACCAATAGGCGGGCAAAATATTTGACTTTCTTCTGCACCCATTAGACATAAAAATGTAGTTGATGTTAAACTAGCTCATAACCTAGGCGTAAACGATTTAGATATCTATGTAGCCCTGTACACACCAATAAAAAACACCAAGACCAAGAGCCACTAATAGGCGGGCAAAATATTTAACTTTCTTCTCCACCCAGTCAACATAAAAATGCAGTTGATGAACGCTCAGTTGATCTCCCTACCATAGATATTTTCGGAATTCCAGAGATTCAGTGTCAACAGATATAAGAATATGATCGAAAAGAGCAAGGACAAGGGTCGGTTGTCTAGGGTGAGTTGGAAGGATCTGTAGGGAAACAACCAAGGGAAAAAACAGGCAAACAATTCAGTTCGAAGGCAGTTTACGCACTACGAGTATTTCCTGGAACGGTCAGCCAGCAGAACGATCGGTCGAGTCAGGAACTCGGGGAAAAATTGAAAAACACAAGGGCACATTCTAAAACAGATTCGGATTCACTGAGATGGAGAAAAAAACATATGAACACATTGAGTGGGTAAGAACTACTCGCGAAGGGCGCTAATCGACGGCGGACGAATTTTCACGAACCGGACCGCGTCGCGAATTTCCTCGGCACCGATGAGATAAGTGAGAAATGTGATATTCCAAGGGTGAGTTTGGTGGTTGGAGAGAATAAGGGTGTGTGAGAGCTCCCAGGCGGAGCGGGTTCGTGACACTGGGGTTGGAAGCGGAGCAAAGAGCGGGAGAGTGTGGGAGCCCGAGTGAGACGGGGAGGCTGCGCGAGGGAGCCAGAGAGAGACAAACGAAAACAGATCAATAAACCTTAGTGCAGCATCCAACATGGGTTTCGCTGCTGGACCAAATTGTAAGTACTTCTACGTCTGTGCATTGCGAGGCATGTGACACGGCCGTTTGAAGCGCTACCGCTCCGGCAGCGGCATCGCATGACTTAACCTTTCTCAACTTTCCTCGGGAAAAACGCCGTATGGACCTTCAGGCGTTGCCAAATACCCTTCGGTAAATCACGAATTCTCGGGAAAATTTCCACACTTTTCTCTTCCAATTTTTTGCGGATAATTTTGTTCGCAATTTCACCTAAATTTCCTGGAATTTTTAAGGAAAAATATTTATGGCTTTCCTCATAGAAGAGTAATTTTTTCTGGATAATTTTGTTCGTAATTTCACCTAAAGTTCCTGGAATTTTTAAGGAAAACTATTTATGACTTTCCTCATAGAGGAATATTTTCTGAGAGAAAATTTGGCAACATTCGAATGTTCATACGCCGTTTTACCGAAGCACGACTGAATTTTCCAGCTCGTGCTTGCGCCCGCCTTTAATTTTCGCCACTTCTCCCCCAACCTCCTGGAAAAACGCGAATGGACCTTCAGGCGTTGCCAAATATCCTTCGGTAAATCACGAATTCTCGTGAAAATTTCTGCTCTTTTTCTTCCGATTTTTTCCGGATAATTTTGTTCGCAATTTCACCTAAAGCTCCTGTAATTTTCAAGGAAAAATATTTATGGCTTTCCTCATAGAAGTGTATTCTCTGAGAGGAAATTTGGCAACATTCGAATGTTCATACGCCATTTTTTCTTATAGCACGGCAGAGCTCGTCCTCGCCCTCGTGCTTTCGCCCGCCTTTCATTTTCGCCACTTCTCCCCATCCTCCTTCTCCTTGGAACTTGTCCATTTTTAAAGCTTTCACTTTTCGGGTTTCCCACCCCAGAGCTCGTCTGATATAAATGCCCGGTTTGACTTTCTGCCGCCTCAAGGCGGGTAGAAGTTTCCCGCCCCCTTAATGTTTGGCCCAGGAGACATGTGTGACGAAGGAGAGTTATGGGGGGTGGGGCCTCGCCCGGCAAATTTTCAAAAATTGATTTCCTATGACGCGATGTTAACCTTTTTTTGGTATTCCTCCAAGTTGGACTATATCGCACAAATCGCGTACTCATCAGGGCCGGATTTACCTACTTTCCGCCCATGGGCCGCCTGTAGTTTACCGCCTCCTTCTCATTCATTTTGAAACATCAATAAAAACCATCAAGTGAATGTGCCGGAGGAGGAGGGGTGCATAAGACGCGTTTACCTACTCGTGTTGGATACATTATTTGCGAAAGCCCTGTCAACATTACTAGCAAAATTTCACGGAACTTGGCGCGAAAGTTAGTTCCATAAACCAATCTCTGTGTAGACAAGGTCCTCCATTTGTAAGAAATGAACCAAAAAATTAGTAAAGAACAAACATTAATGTGGTTTAATGATTGTAACTTCCGCCGCTGCGCCGCGCTGATCGCACTGTTTGGCGCAATGCGTGAAGTATTCCTGGAGTCTTGTAGGCGCTATGCGTTTCACGCCAACCGCTCCTGACCGCACTGTGTTTGGCGCAATGGGTGAAGTATTCATGCAGTATTGTAGGCGCTAATATGTGTTACATACCGACCGCTGCGCCGAGGGCATGTCCTTTTCATCTCAAGTCCTCGTCATCATTCCTCTCTGTGCTGAGCTCCAGGCCAAATTGCGTGCTTAGTTCCTCTCTTAACTCGACTAATTAAAGATGCTGTCTCTTGTATCACCGAAAAACGACAATATTAGAAATTACTATACTCTCAGGAAAGAGAGATTTTATTCCCTTTTCTCATTGATAATTTTTTCTTCTGAATCCGATTTTTTTTATATCCACATTTAAAAAAAAAATGTAAAATTTGCCGCCATGGGCCGCGGTCCATGCGGCCAAGTGGCCACCCCCTTAATCCGGCCCTGGTACTCATGGCACTCGTTTTACGTAAGAGAATTTCCGAAAACTCGGCAACACTGTCGTGCGGTGCCGGCGCACAGTGGAGGTTTGAGTAGTTGAGCCGCTGCCCTGAGAATTTCCCCGACTTTTCAGATTGTTGATTGACTCGCTTTGCGCCGTCGCAGACTTCCTGCCATGCCTGGATTCTTTTTTAGATAGAGTGAGCTAACATTTCCAAGAATGTTGTTGATTCGCTCTCAAAAAAAAAAAAAAAAAAAAAAAAAAAAAGCAAACGGGGGCGAAGATTCCTGAACACCGTAAACGAAATACGTGGTTTGGAAGTTTCACCGTCGATATTTGCCTCAGTCCAGAACAGAGGCGGATCCAGCAATTTGGCAACACCGGATTTCCTCCATTTAAACCTATGCTAAATAATCGATTATTATCGCAGCACCTGGCTCCTCCAAGAATCGATACATTTCCATAGGTTTAAATGGAGGAAATCCGGTGTTGCCAAATTGCTGGATCCGCCAATGGTCCAGAAGCTTTGATTCGACTGGGAAACGAAGTTGTAAACCTATTTGTGGATATCGCCCATTTAGAGTTCGCCACCATTATCGATACCTGCATTAATCTGCACAGTGGGCTGATAATTGAAATAATTGATAGACTAAGTCATAGAGAAAGAAGACACGGAGAGTATGGAGCGATCCTATTCGTTGAAATAAGTAGTTCCAATAGACAAAGGGAGAAAATGATGGACTATAAGGTCTCTCGTGGGTTGCCGTTAGTTTCTCTGTTACCTACCTCTTTCGTCCATTGCAACCACCCGCTTTCACCGACAGGATCCCTCCATATCCCTTCTGTCTTCTTAGTCTATAGCTTTGTCTATCAATTTCGATAATCTGCCCGCAGGCAACAAACCCACCGAGCACCAAAAACACATATCTTAAGTGTTATTTATTCGGAAATCCAGATTAACCTCCTTCCATTAACTTTGATACAACCAACACCAACAGACACCGTGCAAACTTATTTGCAGATATCAACCAGTTGAGGTTATTGCCTTAAATATAGCTCCATAGAAAAGGAATATACAAGGGAGCTCGAATAATTGGATCGCATTTAGCAAAACGGAACCAGCGCGAATAGTGTTGTGAAAATGTGGCCTCTTCATAATTATCTCAAAAAATCTCCCAGAATAGCAAAAATAGTTTTGGCTTCCCACCAAAAAAGTGTCAATTTTTAAGGAAAATAATTGTGTACACTTTTATATTATACATATAAAAAGTATTTCTGAGAGAAAAATAGGAGTTGCACGATTTTGAAAACACTGTAATCGCGCTGGTTCTTTTTTGCTGAATGCTATCAAAATATCCATTCGCAAAATAAACATTTAATCTGCTACTAGCTTTGAATATTCAAGGCTATTCAAGGCCCTTAAAAATTCTAAGGGAACTACAGCTTGATAACGTACTCAGCAAAATAGCGATAATATTCCCATTGAAGGAGGAGAGACGTAATTTAGGCTGGTTTGTTAAAGTGTCTCCCGAATCGGAGCGACACCTCACCAGTCACCAGCAGCACAAAGCGGAGCAGTGCGAGTCAACGCCTCGCTCCATCGCGCCTTCAAATTTGCAGACGCAACATGGACATCCATCGAGTACGAATAGTTGTATCTCTGCGCCGTAAGCATCGCGCGTCCGTTTCCCTGCTCTACTTACATATTGAGTCGGTCCAGTTCGACTTATTTGTAGATGTCTCTTTTATGTATACGTGAGGAACTCAGCCGAAGATAGGAAACACGTAATCGCGTCTCGTTCTTTAACTATTCGCCCGAATCGGAGCGACCCCTCATTCGCAGCGAAGAGCGGAGTGTTACGAGTCCTCGCCTCGCGCCACCGCGCCTTCAATTTTGCAGACGCAACATGGACATCCATCGAGTACGAATAGTTGTATCTCTGCGCCGTAAGCATCGCGCGTCCGTTCCCCTGCTCTATTTACATATTCATCAACGCCTCTCGCTCTTCTTCTGTTTCTATATTGCGTTCGTTTGTATGTATGTGTTTGATTCGTAGTGGTGCTTCAAGGGCTAAGTGAACAATACAGCCGAAAATAAGAGAGACACAACATGCTGGCCTCGTTTTTTAACTTGACTCCCGAATCGGAGCGACATTATACCTCACCAGCAGCATAAAGCGGAGCAGTATGAGTTAACGCTTCGCTCCATCGCGCCTTCAATTCGGCTCACGCAACGCGGACACCCATCAAGCACGAATAGTTGTATCTCTGCGCCTCGCCGTCATCGACGCGCGTGCTTAACTAACAAATCGTCACCTTCCAGGCAAAGTATCACAAGCGCCATGCGACGTTTAAAAATTTCCGCCGCCATTTTATTTTTTACAGAGAAATTGTTCAACGAAGCTGTCCGAAAATTTCACTGAATTTTTTTTGTGCTGCCGATAAAATTTAGTGAAATTTCCGAACAGATTCAACCAACAATTTCTCAGTAAAGAAATAAAATGGCGGCGGAAATTTTTAAACGTCGCATGGCGCTTGTGATACTTTGCCTGGAAGGTGACGAAATAGGGAGTCCTCTGCTCATTGCTAATGTAGGTATTTGTTACCTTTGATCATTCACAAAAAGGCTTTTTGACTGGTCAGTTGTTTATTTTTTTAAATCTCTACGTTAAGTAACTATCGAGCCGTTTTCAAAGATTTTCTGATAAATGGCAAGTCATAATCTTTACATATGGTCGCTGTCTTCAAGTTGGAACAAGTCCTCAGAGTGTTGGTAGCGTCTGTGGGACAGAAGACACCCCCCCCCCCCATCGGTTAAGTAGGAAATCATTTCTCTCCTATTAGGAGATTTCATGAAAGTTAGGATTCAGAGGGAGGAGTAGGATTTTGGTAGGGGTATGAAAGTAATTGGCAACTTAAAGTTGACATCACTTTATTTATTTAAAGGAACTCAACACCTTATGTGAGTAATTTACAAAAATATTGACAAACAAATACTATCTAAAAACGATACTTAAGGGGATGACAGTCAAACAAATGATAATCATAAATGATAACGTAGAATTGAACGATGTTAGAAGTCCTTATCTTGACTGAATTATGATTTAGATTGAAAATTATACAAGGTATTCGAGCAAGATCTCGGACCGGTGGAAAATATAAGATTAATTCTTAGACAGTGAGAACTAGAGTACCTAGGTCAGGTAATTCTAAGTAAAAACACCCACATTTTTGTGATGATTCGCATTGCATAATTATAAGATATGTTGAAGTTTTAGAGAATACAGTAAAGATCAATTAGCTGGACATTGATTGCACATATTACTAGTTGATTAAAACTATTAAGCGACGTCTAAGCTTTGAGCAATAACCTAAGGGTTAAGTGTTGTGTCAGCGGCAATTGATGTATTTAGTAAACACTTAGTTGTGCCAAGTGCCTCACAAAAAAGTCAACCTATGGACCAAGGGATGTTTTCCGCAGAATTTCTGATATTCTCACTTTTGGTATCAATGCAAAGCAGATGGCCTGATTGGAGGCCATTGTCATATCATATATTATTCGACGGATTTCCAATCCTTAAGAGCACATTTCTATTGATTATTTAAATTATTTGTTCCATCAGATCAACTTAGTTTAAATGAATCCAGATAAATAATGATTTATTGTGAAAAAATGCAAGAAATTCGACAAACTCATTCTCTTGACAGTCAAAGTAAAGTCAAAGTAATTGTTTCAATTTTCAAAGCGTTTGAAGATACACTTCAATTTCTTTCTCCAATATAAATGCATCATTTGATTCATTACCTGTGATTTATTGGACAACTGTATAATATGTGACGCAATAACTAAATAATTAGATTTTATAATCAGAGCAAGAACTTGAAATTGCACTCAAAAGATAGTTACTCCTGACTAATCAATATTTAGCTTTTGATTACTGTCTTAAAATGATGAAAGAAAATCTACTTCAGCGCTTTTGTAATTCAGCAAGTAAAATACTCTGACATAATTCTACTTTCAAAATGAGCATGGGAAGCTAGAGAGCAATAATAACTATGGCGTATACAATATTAATGTACTTGCTATCATTAGAGCTCTGAAAACTGTTTCCAAAATAAATTAACATTGAGCTGACTAAAAGTTCGGTGAAATTGTTCCGATGCCAACATTTTACGTACAGGACATGTAAGTAAGGGTACAAAATAAATTTAAAAATAGAAAAACAATTCGTTAATTACAAATAATTACATCATGAAATAAACTTACTAACTAAAATAGTTCAGTGACTAAAATTTACACTGGTACTTTCACTGCATAATTCATTCTTTCTTGCCTGAAAAGAATGATTTGAAACTTGAATTTAACAGTAGGATGATTTGCCTACATTCACCTGTAATGTACCCGCTTCTCAAGAGAGTATTGTGGTAACATTTCCACAATACTGCTACAATTCTATTGCTTCATTACATTTGACACATTCTGGCAATATTTACAGTAATATTGCCGTTATATTACTTTAGCAATATTGCCGTTACCCTCTTGTCAAATGGTCATTTCCTCTTAATTGAGTGACCAAACCAAAATGGAGATGCAAAGGTGGATCAGAATCCACGTTAGGTCACACAGACCTTTCTCAATAATTAACCACTACACCTCCAGAAAAGTAAATAGTTTTTTTTTTTAAAGAATTAGAGAAGATGAACCGATTAATGTCTTCTTACTCAAATGTAACAAAAAACATTACTGAAGCCATGGTTGAACAAGACAGAGAAGTAAGATAGACCACTGCTTTCTCCAATAATTTAATTCAACTGTTGAACTTAGTCTTCTTCAATAAGCTAATGTTCAATTCGTTTTGTTGACCATGCAGTGACATACTCTTAGATCATTGGAGCTTCTCCAGCTTCTTGAATCTGCTTCAGGGCTTATGTGACCGGAACTGTGAGAGGGGACCTAATCTTCGGGGACAAAATTTTCCTGAACTTGCTTCAATCGCTTGAGTAGAAAAATCTCTCTAGTTTGACCATGAAAACTCAAAAATTGAAGGAGATAAATCCTGAAGTTCTGATACAAAAATTATCAGGCTGTAGAAAAATGGGGTTAAAGTTCTTGAAAGAAGTTGAGGAAAATTTTTCATAGAAGATAAGGTTGCTTCTCATACGAAACTGAGCAATGCGGCAATTGAATTCTTCCTCTACTTGTGATAATGAAGCACTCTGGAGCTTTCAGTCTGCAGCCACAGTGGCCTCCACACTCCAGTTTGCAAATATGACATGAGAAACTGGTTCTTAGAGGAGTAAACATGATTACGGAACGAAAATGTCTTCCCTTTAAATTGACTCCTTTCATGTAATTGGAACATCACCAATGTATAAGTACAACACATTACAAACAGAACAAATTTGAGGATTCTTTTATCTACTAATCTTCGCCTTCAAGGCAATTTCATACTTCAAACCTCTTGATTACATAGAAAGAAAACTAAAATTTTGAGAGGAACAAGGTAACACTCACAATGAAAACATAAAGGCACTTCACTTGATAAAAAAAAATTTGAAAGGTAAAGAATCAAGATTACTCAAAACCTCATCTTTATATTGGTGATTGCTCAATTATTTCAATTATAATTATCAGAAAAGAAAGGTTAGAACCTCCAAATCTTCAAAATAGCGATTGCGTCACTGCTGTCTGAATTAAAAAGCTGAGTGCAAAAAAGGCACTTGGCGGTTGGTGTATTTTAGAGTCTCTTGATCCAAAATTAAACCTCGTAGAAGAATATAGGGAGTGATTTTTCCGGAATTATTTTATAGAATATGATAGAATCATGAAAGATATTCAGAGCAAATTTTCATGAAATGCATACATTAACTTTCTTACAGTGAATTAAATACTAACAGGATTTTCCACACACGGCAACCAAGCAATACCTTCCTTGCATCTAACGATTTAATTACACTAAGGCAATGATTTTACCAACTACTATTTTGACAATCAGAGGAGGACTATACAAAAAGGACAAGGGTGTCCTAAATTGTGCCAGTTTTTCAAATTTGATTATGGGATTATGAGTTTTTCATGCCCAGTTTGAATTTTTTGTTCATTTCATTTTTTGTTTTTTTAATTGATTACTTCACAATTTCTCATCTCAGATTTTCCTTAAGTCTCGTTTTCACTTTTAGATTTTTTTTTTTTGTGGTCTTTGTGGCCAGTATGTATTTAGGTTTGGAGTCCTTGCGAGAACTTGACTATGGAGATGGTTTAAAAAATATGGCCAGTTAAGAACCTTGTTTAACTTTTGAAAATAAGGGTCAAGGGCTAATGCCACAACTTCACGCATTACAACTTTCTTCTACTGCTCATTTTTATAGTAGGTTTGTAGAAAAAAACTGGCAAAAAGTTTTGATATACCTACCATTTGTGTATTTTGACATGTATTTTCAGGTTGAATCATCTGTCCGTATCAAAATGCAAAAATTCAAACGTGCAACCTCTATGTTACTTTGAGATGCAAACGAATTTTATCCTATAAGGTATTACATTATTTTATGTAATATGGTCCTAATGAAAAAAAATTCATCTGCCCCACCTGCAAGATTTCTAAAAAAAAAAATAGATCTGCTTATAAATTGATCAAATAGCTGTTTTTTCTTTTTACTTCTAGAACGGTTAGATCTCCATCTGATCTTAACTAAAATTGGAACATTCTAAAACTCTTCCAAACACTTTAGAAAACCCTCGTTCACATTTTCTGATGCTCGTTGTGCGCTGCTCTTCTCATTGGGTTGACCTGTATATTTAGCCTTTTTCCCCCTTGTTGGGTGATACTTGAGATATTGTTGTTCGTACCTTATTAGAGAGTTGGTAATGTGATTGATTTATAAATTTATAAGAAAAATAAAATAACTTTGACACATGGTATCGTACGTAAAACTTTTAATACTGAATCTTTTCACTTTCACTTCAGTTTTTGAAAAATTTGTTAGAGTTAATTAACATCCAAGTTATGATATTTGCTTATCATAATAATAAATTTACAAATTTTATATCGGAAAATGATATAAAATCCTAGTGTCTCTCATTCACTTAAATGCTATTGATGTTGACACGATTTCATGTCTTTGAATGAGAAAACAGGGAAAGGTCTGAAAGTAATGATTCAAGATTTACTATGAAGGAGCAGAAAATTAGGTATCTTCAAAATCACCAGAAAGTGAGCAGAAGCATGTGTAGAATACATTTTCGAATTTTTTTCTCTCTTAAAATGTTTTTCTTGAAGTTTCCAGTCCTTACGTGATTAACAATTCAAAGACTTCAACATTTGACTATCGTTAGGAGAATTTTTTTTTTTATTAAATTAAAGAGAGACTTTAATCTTCAAGGAGCTATCTCCTACATGGCTTCAATGTATCAATGTAGGCGTACTTTCTATTGATTAAAAAAAAGTCACTCTATCTTGTCAAACCTTAAAGAGATCAATTGGTCAAATGCACTTGTCACAGAATCATGCTTTGACAATTTCCGGTTATGCATTACCAAAAAAATAATGAGATCTGTCCGCTTATCACAATTTTCTGTTCAATATTGATATCACCATTCGAGAAACATGGCGAATAATTTCTTTAACTGCAGTGGTGCATACCATGATTTCTTCCGCCTTACTTTCATCAGTTTTTAGAGTTGAGCAATCATTGCGGTTGTGTGAATCACGAACTGTTGATTCCGAGGCAAAGATACCATAGTGTGTACTACCATGTCAGATTTGATCAAACACTGGGTTTTTTGAAGTGTGAAATTTCCGTAAATATTGGATCTAGAAACTAGGTATTCGGACTGATTTTATTATTTTTTGCTAGTTTGTAATCTTAAACCATCAAAACACGATTTTGTTACTAGCCTAACTGGCTTGCTCCTTGTACCGATTCTAAGACTTGCGAGATTAGCAATGAACAGGATTTACATTATGAATCACATGCGAAAGTCATATTGTTTTTTGGTGACTGTGAAATTCATTAGAAATAATTTATAAACAATAATCTTTTGTTAGGTTAAAATTAACTACCAATGCTGAGGCTTGGAGGTCTCGCAGTGGCAAACCAAATGAGGACAACGGCAGTTGAAAAAAAAATTTATAGTTCATTAAATTTCCGACTAATTTTAACCCATTGACTTAATAAGAAGATATGGACTCAAATTTGCACCATATCAGAACTGCAGTGATGATCATCGCTCGTGCTGAGATTTCTAAGTCTAACTGTTTGCATGTTTTCAATAATTTTTTGATGGATAAGTTACTTATCAACACATACAAGAGACCAACTTAACACTATTTTATACAGTAGTTTTTTGGTTTTGTTACTATTACTTAGTTTCAATGTACTACCAATGAAAATAATAGAGTCTCAGTTTTCCCAAGATTTTACTATTCATGTGATTTTGACTATTTTGAATGGACAAAATGCAAGTTTTCCAAACACGATTCATCACTGTTATTTGCCAGAGTATGCTTGGAATGCTACCTGTCAATTTTTAGCATCATTAAGTAAGTTTTAGGTGTGTTTGAAGGCTTAAAGTTACTAATTTTTGCTTAGCTAAACACTAATCCTGGGTGCATGAATATGAACAATTAAAGAGGCATTAATGGCTTATCGAAAAAATGAAAAACTACCTGTTTGTGGTATTATAAAGCAATGATGAGTGAAATAATGCAGATACTTATTCAAGAATGAGCTTAGACATTTATACGTTTTATTTTACTGATTTTCTCACAGCCATTACTCAAAACAACAGGCAACAAGAACTCATTACCACAACTAATTGTTTTAGCAGCTTAATTCATAGCTTTAAGAGCAATCAAATGTTTATAATATTTTTAATGTTAAGATGCATTTTTCTCCCTTAAAGGTCTTAAAGGTTGATTCTCGGGCCACGTCCATAGCCTTGAAAGCTTTTGGTTTCTTGTCAAAATTTAAGTTTTAGAAAGGAAAAACTCTGATTCTGAGTTAATAAGAGACATTAAGAAGTTTATTAGGTCACTGTTCTCTGTAACTTTATTTGGGCTGTACAATTTCTTGACTAATGTGACAGTAATTGTTGTAAGTTGGTGCTAACCGAGGGAATAGAACTTCGCACATAACACCAAGAATTTTGGTGCTAGCTAAATTTTGATATTATGTACTTGATATGATGTTCCTTTCGACCTCCTGAGCTTTTAAAGTCGAACTTCCTAAGTACCAATCTTGTTAAAAGCACGGCTGAAAAGTGAATTTTTTTACTTTCATACATGCACTTTTTAATGGAGATATGGAGCTGCTGCTACGTCTCTGAGAACACAGTGCCACATGCTATTAGTATTATGAGGACTTAGATTCTCTATGTCCATTTCATCTTGCTGCCAGCAAGGAAACAAAAGCTCTCCTTGATCACCTTCCAGATGTTGCACCATCTTTGTTTGATAATTGCATGTAAAAATACCAACAAGTTCACTTATCAGCCTTGTTTTTCTCGAGACAAAGACATGACACGTTTGATTTTAAAAGTTCATTTTGCTCAGGAGGCCATAAGGAACATTACACTAAAAAAAATTGATTGATTGCTGGTGCCGAATTTCTTAGCAATGTGTGCATAGTCTTTCATATTTCATATTTCCTTTTCTTCTGGGTTCTGGTCAAAAGAATTACTTTCAGATTAAAATGATATCGTTATTGTCGAAGAATTGGAAAAACGATTCTCCAGGAAATTGAATAGCATAAAGTGCTCTGGCGGCATGATAAGAATCTCGGTATAGTTTTGGGGTGCTAAGAGAAAATTTACGGTTCACTAACTGAAAACTAATATTAAAAAATATTCACAAAATTTTTTATCTATATGACTGATCTATTTTTTTATTGGGACTCAACAAAGAGTGCAACACAGTTTAAATTAAAACATTTTGAATTAAAATATAAAAAGTTCCTTAGAATGATAAAAACCGATCGATAAAAAGTTTGATTAAAAAGAAGAATATGTTGTCATTTTTTATCTAAAATTTAAGTCAATTATAAGTAGCTATTATCTCACTGTCAATTTGATGGCAATGTTCGATTGATTTGATGACTTCCGAAATGACTTACAAGTCCTCATTCAAACCTTTCTAATCTGCAACACACACATAAAAAAAACCAGCCTTGTGGATCAAAGTTTTCACTGAACAGATATCAGACCCTTATGTTAGGTATCAGTTTTTTTTTAAGTTTAAGGAGATTCCTCTACCTTGGAAAACCAAATACTTAACGCATTGGCCTTAAATGACGAGTATACTTGCTATTCTATCGGTGGGACAAATCGAAAATGACAAGTGAACTCGTCATGAAACCCAGCAAACATTTTTTAATGAGTTCCGAAATTTTTTGACAGATGGCGCTACTCATCCACACTTACATTAAAAATATGACTAACCCAACTAATATTTGGTACAGTATTTTTTTCTTCCATACAGTAGTTAGGTTTTGCTGTACACGATTACTTCACCTGACCCTATTTTTGTCGAGATTTAGCGTTTTTGTTGATTTTGACTATTGTAAATAAGCAAAGTAAAGCTTTTTAACAGCTGTAGTTTGTGCTTTCTGGCAGAAATTATTTTGTATGCCTGCAACTGGAATGAGTTTCACATCCTACTAATATACACAATAATCATTTATCATCTTTATCTTTCCTTTCGTTTACTAAAATTACACTATTCGAACATTGGAGGATTACTTGAAACGAGGGCCCATTAAATAAAATTTCACATGAGAGAAACGGCTTGGTAAAAACCAGAAGATCAGAAAATTATGAGATGCCAAGGCCAAGATCACTGATGCTAACTTCATGAAGTATGGGATCTGGGCCCAATTTACATTTCTTTGATTGGCGCTCTAAAAGAGGACCCTCTCGAGGGGGGGGGGGGGGAGGCAGGATTTCCCCTTTTCCAGACCAGAGGGAGGATGTTAAGTTGAGACAGGACAATTTCAAACCATTTTGAGGTGCCTAATTGCGAACATTTTGACATCACAAAAAACCAAGTTAGGGAATATAGGTGACAAGATGCTTGAAACATAAATTTGTGATATATTCCCAAAACTTTTGTGCCCCTCAGATTGTTGTGCCCTAGGCTGTAGTCTACACAGCATCATCGCTAATTCGGCACTGAATGAGATAAAATGCAGCCTGGCATATTAATAGTCAAAACAAGGGGGGGGGGGGGGTGACTTCATAAAATCAGAGATTCACAAACAATGGATAACTCGTGGCTTTTGCACCGCGAATTTCTGGCCCACTTGGAGCCCCATGGATTGCTCTTTTTTCTTGGAGCAATGTACACGCTTCACACAGAGATTTTAAGCCCTGATTTTGATAGAATGTGCATGCAAAACATGGATACATACAGTTAATTTAAAAATGAGGATTGTTACCTGAAACTAAATATCATTTGGCTTGCACGACAGGTATAGGTTTGGCATTGTTACTATTACAATTAAGAGTGCTGTTCTGTAAAGGCAGTTTTAAAAGAGGTGAACCAGATCTAGACGAACTTGTTCCTTCATTGTCTGATCCTGCACCTTCAGTCTCCATCTAAAAAAAACAAAGACAAAAGAGACATAAAATAAGAATTCTTTTCAAGTGACAGATAAACATTCAGGAAGGTGGGCTTTCCTCTACAGTGACACAAAAAGCTATTCAACGCATCAGGAACTTAACTGATAGCCTTATTTGTTGACGCTCTTTTCTTTGATTAGTATGACGAATGACACTCTTTCTTTAACATGTTATTGTGTTGTAAAAATGCGGACCGAGATACAATAGATTAGTTAATATTAAGCCTGTGCGAATAATCAAACGTTAATCATAATCGCGATTAATTTTTTCATCTTAATCGTGATCGGTTTAGAAAATTAATCGTGAATGATTCGATTAATTTGACTCCACGAAATGTCCAATTTCGCGCTGCATTTTGAATTTGAAGTTCCCGCCGCGTTTGTTCGATGCAGGCCCCTAACAGTAAAAACTCTCACTAAAAATAGTGATAGCCCTGCGAAAATACCCCAATCGTGCTTGTACCGCGATTTCACGTCACGATAAAGGTTCTTCAAATACTTTTGATTGGAGAGGTTGGCAATGCATCAAATTAAAAAAAAAAAAAAATAGTTGGCAGGTCTAGTTTATTTTGGGTGGAAGGGATCTTATAGAAAAATAGACAATGAGTCAACTTCAAGTGGGGGAAGAAAACAAAATATTGGAGGAAAATCATCAGCTTTCAAGATTTTTAAAAAATATCTTCAAGAACTTGTATACTTCAACTTTGTTTTTGGTAACAGAAGCCAAAAAATAACTTCGTTTTAAGTCACAAAAAAAAATCTTACTCTGTTATACTTTTTCAGTTTTTCCCCGATTTTAATCGTAATCATGATCGTAATCGCGATTCGTTAATCGCAATCGAATTGAAAAATCCATAATCGCACAGGTCTAGTTAATATAAAAATGAAGTATTCCATATCCTTCTCGACAGATGGCATATGCCATGTGTTAAAGTTCATGGATGCATCAGGAAGCTAAAGCGCTCAGATGCTCAAACATGTTTCTCAAAACATGAATTTTCCAGCATGGTTCATAGCTCTCGCTTGTTGCAGTGCAAGCATTCTCAGGGGTGGTGTTAAAGGGTTAAAACATATATACTTTACCTTTTCATCTTTAATTTCAAATTTATCACCAATTGGACCATGCTCATCTTCATATTCTCTTAGTACAAGATCAAGATTAAAGCGCCTTCGGTAGTTGACAAAGAATGTCCGCATGTGAGCTTCTGTTTTGGTACCAATTACATCTGCAATAGCTTGGAAATCCTTTCCGTACTTTCTCATACCTAGGGATCAGAAGAATGCACTATTTACCGAAGAATCGAATACAACAGAGGAATATTATAATGCTGACTTTTCAGTTTCTAAATGAAGAAATAATAAATGATTGTCAATGAAGGTGGATAGGGTGCAGAAACTCCTCAACCATGCGACCGGCGGGTTGCTATCAGTCGCATGCAAAAAAGGGAGGGCCCCAACCATGGTACAGGAAATCATCAGAAACTGAAATGAGACAAACATTCTTTTCCAAAACGAAAAAAATAACATTTTTTTTTCTTTCTTTCTTTTTAAAGTTTGAGCCAAATAGTATTGATAGGGAGTGTGCTTCCCTTAAGAACCTATGGGATTTCCATATTTTTATTCATATTCCAATTCCCTGAATTATTTATTCCATTCTCAGACTCAAAAATTCTCAAATTCTCTGACCTTCGATGAAAATTTTCACTTGGAGTCTTTCATTTTTTTTCTTTAGATTTTGCTGACTTTTGCTCAACTATAGACGTAATCTACACTGGTAGAGATCCAAATTAAGGAAAAGGGAACTCAAAAGTTGTTCGCGCTCTCTTAAATGGCAACAGCTGAAGTTGTTGATCTGGCTCACTACTTGCGAATTTCCCTGACTTTTCCAGGTTGTCGGAAACTCTATGGCATTATATTGAGTTCACCAACCTTACGCTAATGTACATTACTACGTTGATGGAATTGACATTATGCCCTGCATTTAAGCAAAACTTGGAGGACATTTCTTTTCTAATCTTCATACTGAAGAAAGAAATTAGCAGCACCATGGCTCCAATCCAGATTCCTCAACTTTTGACCTAGTTAAAATCAAATTTCGACAAGTTTCAGATTATAAAAATTATTGCATTCGAGGGGACCAACCTTGTACTGCAAGAAGTAGCTCATCATTTGTCCACCTGGCATTGATTCTGGCGGAAGACTGCTGTTCTTGTGGACGGAGTTCGTCAATTCCAGCAGAAGTTTTCCGTTTCAAAGAGCTAATGATTTGCTTGTTGTTCTGAACCTGAAGGCAAGAAAGTACTTTTAGAAATTTTCAAAATAAGAAAGATTTCTATTCAGACAGAATTTCTTAGACTCTTAAAAAGTGTTAAACTTATTTCCCCATCTTCCATTCATGCGATTCCAAGGGTGTGTAAAGTTCTTCTCATTGTAGGCCTTTATTTCATACATATATGCAAGTATGCATCATCAAGCTCATTGTGCTGAGGAGCCTGTGAGGTACATCATATTAAATGATATCGAAAGTTAGCTACCACCAGATTTCATGGTATTCTGTGCTTTGTCCTGTACAATGCAATACAAAATGAAGACTTCAACAATCAATTGAGCTTCATTTTGCAATTATATCAGTGAGAACGAAGACACACCAACTCGGAAAAATGAAAATAATTAAGACATAGACAGAACATATTCATATTTTCTTTTGATTAACCAGAATTGTCACTCATATTACACACCTGTCTTTTGAGCGAGATCACTTCTCGCTCCAGTGCTCGTAACATCTGTTCACCTTGGCCCTGGGGTCCTGCAGCCATTGCCACTAAGTCATCGTAATTAACATACATTCCTCTTGGAGGTTTCCGTTTGTGATGATTAAGCATGGCTGAGCTACTTTTATCACGCAATCTAGCAGGCGCTGATGTGGGTCGTAAAGAGCCTGTTTTACTGTAAAAATGAGAGATAATTAAGGATTGAAAAAAGTATTCCCAATGGAATTTTAACCTCTTCAAATGGAAATCGATGAGACACTATACATGAATCAAAAATTTAACTCAGAAAGCACTTTTTATCCATTGACATTATTTAAGTTTCTCCTCTGGGTTAGTCCTTAATATTTTTATGAAAAGATCTCCACAAATGAAAATGATACAGATAATTCAAAATGCTTCTCTTTTTGTAAATACTAGGGGTCTAAGCTCCCCCCAGCGCTTTGTGTCTTGAGCGTTATGCATTACTCTTATGATTTTATGTTACTGAGTATTATTCGTACTAACATTTCTTCTGAAAGGTTCTAAATAAACTGAGTGAGATTATATTCTTTAACATAATTGACGATTCTTATGAACCGCCAGACAAGGTAATTCTGATGTATGTTTCTTCTTCATAACTTCATGTCGATCATGATTTGCGCAGCAAAAATTACAGTTGGAAACTACTGCTCTAACGGAATTGGATGAGCCTCGAGTGTAGGCATCATTTCCGCATGTATATCAGTTGGGTTGCTGGGCCCATAAAACTCATTTCTGCCAACCCTGGTAACTCCAATAGCTATCGGGTAGGAGTGTTCAAACGAATTCTTAACGGAACACTATCGATATCGTCTCTTATTGAAACTGGCGGCAGTACCGACAGTGGCGATGATATCGTTAGCAGCCGGCTTTATCGGATTTTTGAGAGCTTGCACTCAATGCATTGTTGTCCCATGCGTCGGTTTATTAGATTGCTTGGCGCGGCGGTGCGTGAAATAGATGTACAAATGGCAACAGCTTATTTTCGTCAGCTCCAAAAACTCTGATCGCTATTGGCAAGAGCTCTCTTATCATAACTTTTTCTTAACGGAACTGTTTTGGGAGCTTACCGACAACCGATAGAACAGCCCTACTATCGGGGCACTATGGGTCTACTTATTGTTTGTGCTTCTTAATGGAGCCGTTTCAACAGCGTACAAATAGGTCATCTCTACGTCCATCATGTTCCATGTAAAATTATATTAAGCTGTTGTTTCTAGCCTTGTCGAGAGGTTCATTCTGAAGCTCATGCATTAAGTCAAAATTACTTTGAAAAGCAAAAGATAGTTTACGGGAAATCAGGATATAGAGATAAAAGACTACCTTTGCCAACAAGTTTAACTTACCTCCAATGAAGGAAGCATGCTGTACACATTAAGCCTTTAGGGGTACTACTCGCCTGAGTGCACAAGACACCGCAGTTGACGCAAGAAACGTTTGTCTTCTCTTTGAACTCTCCGTTCTCTTTCTGTAAAATGAAAATACTTAGAATGTTTAGAAACATGTTTCTACAGAACATAAAGTAAACTGAGCAATAAAGAGGCATAACATTTTCTGTAAAGGAGGCCACTGACACTTGAGCAGGAATGAAGGCATTTACTGGAAACAGCCCTGCTTTGTAGCTCAAACCTCATTCCGCTCTCGAGTCAGAGAGATAAACACTGCTCCTCAGACAACTGAACCGATATTTTTCTTTGAGGCCCAAACGCCAAAATCCAAGTTCCAAGAAAACAGGTTAAACTGTGTCATTCAGAATGCAATAATTTTTTGAGCCCAAAAATGTAAGTGTCTTAAGAATGCCCAGTAAAACTAAGTTCAAAAGATTGAATGCACGCCAAATGGCACTTTTTTCATTTTTTTTTCAAGACTAGGATTTTGGCGCTTAGGTGCTGAAGAAAAATTTCAATTAAATTCCAAGTCAAAGGGTAACACATAAGGTGGGCAACCTTAATCATGGTGGTCTTAAGTATCCGAGACATGTTTGAGTGTGTGGATTAGATCCTAAAATTAGCAGCTTAATGGAAAAATGTATGCTTCTTTACAAAGAGCTCAAATGTAATTCATTCACCAATCGGGGTAGTAGGGTGTGAGTGGGTGGGGATTAGCCAGCACTTGAAATACCCTATTAATAGAAAACTTCACACTTTTTTATGCAAAATAGAAGACAAGTCTAAATCAGCTAAGTTTCCTTGACTTCATATTTGCTTTTCTTTTCCGTCTTATTACGTATACCTTGAGCATTCAAAAAAAATTAAAAAATGGTGTGCCACTTCTACGTGGCTCTTGCAAAACGCCTACCAACAAAGTACTTATTAAATTGTACTGGGTCGGTTTCCTTACACAGAGACTGTGAAAGCTATATGAATTTAACACACACAAAGTATTAGTTAATTCTTGCTTCCACTGACTTTTCTACTTATGACACAGTTTGGCAGTTTTTTTGAGTAAAATCAAAAGTAAATGGAAGCTGAAGTTTATCAATAATTTTTACGTCAAAAAATGACTTATTTGATGCACACTTTATCTCTGACATGTAGCTCTAAGGATTTGTCTTATGGCTATACATGTAAATTCTTTGATCACTTTTTATTCTACTTCATCCAAAAGAAATTACAAACCTTTTAGTTAAAACAAATGCCAAATAACATTCTTTTCAACTTATAATTAAAAATAGTCCTTCCACTGTTCCAAGCAAGGTGACTTTTAATTTAAGTCCTTCCTAGTGTGCACTAGTAGATTGGTTGAAAAAGAGGACATTAAGGCAATTAATTCAAAATTGAACCCAAAAAACCAAAATAAAAAAGGCAATCAAGGCTCAAAATATCTGGGTTGATTTATGGTGCCCCTTCATTGACCAAAAAACTGATGATGGAAGAGACCCAAGTGGAACGACAAATCAAACCCAGGGTGATGATTATAACTTGAATATTCAACCGATCATGATTTGACGTGTAGCCTTTTCACGGCAGCTATTTACTTAAGGTAACCTTTGGTGAGCAGTAAAAAAATGAATAACATAAAAAAGTACGAATTTCGATTTGCAACTACCAAAAAGTAGAGTTGTAGAAAACAACAAAAACTATTTAAATCCCAAAATAATCATTTACTTTAAACTTGATTCAACCTTAACACAAAATATATTTTCTCTTGTTATACATAAAAATCCACATGATGAAATTAGGAGTCAAAAATAAAAATTATACAGTATATACAGTCTTTAAATAAACAACTAGAACATAAAAGCTCAACATGTTTAAAATAACAATAATAACATATACTTTTGAGGGAAGGGATTCCCGGGAATCATTGATGAGGACAATCAGCTGATGGTACCAATGTTGCTTGCAAGGGTAAGTGAGTGAATGTTGTTCCACAAATAGGATGTCAATTGTAGGGTGAAGAAATTAAAAAAACACAGGTGATCGGAACTGTGATAAGGGACCTTATCTTCTGGGAGACCTTAGCTTACTGCTGAGATTAAAACCACGTTTTTAACAGCCTGGGAATTTTTGTCTTGACGCTTCAGGACTGATCTCCTTCAATTCTTAAAATTCTAAGGTCAAACTTGCGCCAGAATTTTCAGATTTTCATACTCCTTGTGTTGGTAAAAAGTTAGGGAAAATGTTCTCCTGCAAAATAAGGTCCTTTTTCATAGATCCAGGTTTGGTTAGGTTTGAATCCCTACATTTGTTAGTTGAGTGTTACTACTACTACTAAGTACTTCATTACTGTCATATGGTTCCCTCTGACTCTGGTTTTCTTTGTGAGCAGGAAATTCAAATATTTTGTAACCAGTGCTAGATAAAAATGATAAAATCTTCATTAGGAGTTACTTTTAATAGCTTTTGTAGCACAAATCGTGTTTTACAAGAAACTTTGAGGAGAAAACATCTACCATTCTACTTGATTTCACACCTTGTCTAATGTTCCATCACGTTAAAATAAGGTGTTGTTTCACATTTTTCGAGACTGCTCTTCTGCTAGAAGATCCTGCTCAGGAGCAAAGAGAATCCCTTCTCTAAAAGTAATTATTTTCAGGTCACGAGGACTACTACATAGCTAGAAAGATCATGTCATGTACAGAATTTAAAAAAAGTCAATTACATTATTTACACTAGAAAAGATTGATGGCTAGCAATATTTTCCGGCAATACTTTTAATACAGTCACCTCAGCTGAATGCTCTTACTTAAGTAATAAAATAAATAATTCATTTTCAAAAAAAATATTTTTGCATACATAAAGAAATATATCTACGAACGGATTATCTACAGATATGAAAGAAGTTAAACACACATTTTACGAAGGTACATAAAGAGGATTTACAGCCAAGACTTAGAAGTAAGAAAAAATGAAGAGCTTCAATAGTTTGATTTTAAATCAATTTAGTTCTTATCAATTAGTAAGCTAATGAGCAGAAAAAAATTTGGTAACGTTGTAAGATTCAATTTGGTAAATGAAATGAGATCAAATAAAAATTATACTAATGAGAGGCCATACCTACTGGCTCGTTTTTCATTATAATCTCAAAATTTACCTTAGTATGTAAACCATACAACATCGATCATTTATAATCAAAATATCTATCAAAATTTACTAAATTGTGAGTTCCTTGACACGTTTTGTTTTGCAAAGGAAAACGAATGATAAATTTACACTACTAACGGTAGTATTTTATGACATGCCAATTGTAATTGGCATTGTAAATGGATATGTCAATTGTAAACACTCATATCTTGTTCAGAGATTGATTTTCAAACTTCCCATTGTGCGATTCATTTTACTTGTGAAATTTTGAAAAGAAAATACCTTGATTTGAGGCCCATTCAGACCAGCTGTTCTGTCTGAGAAAGAAATTTAATCTATTGCTGATAGGAACTATTTTATCAGAACAAGCAAATTTTGCAAGTTCTCATTGTTTGATGATCCTTTGTTTACCATTCTTTACCTTCCTTTTCTTATTTTTTCTTCTTCCTTCTCCTGTTTTTTTCTTTCCTCTATTTTATCTTTTGATGCTTGCCTTGCTGACTAAAATTTTGTTTAGTGCAGAGGCAAATTTTTTATTTTTACCACCCATCAAATTACATTTCAGAGATCAATTGATGATAGAATCTTAACATTACTTACAGCTGTAGAAACATACATCAGTTATTCACAAGTGCAATACAGATTTGACAAAAAATAAAATAAATGACATAATAAATGATAGCTGGAGCATGGTTAGGGGATAAAGACTGCCCGACCCAAAGGACTTGATTGGCCCCAAACTGATTTCTGGGACGCCAGTGTTGTTTGACAATAATTATTGGTTAAAGACTGTCATTAAACCCCTACATGGGATTAATAGCTGCTAGATATGGGCCAGAAAGCCAAACATGGCAATGTTTTTTTAGATTTTTCACGTTTAATGTTGTTTTCCAAACAGAGTGCAAGGAAGTATCGAAATGGTTTTTCTGTTAGTAAAATACAAAAAAGGAAAAAAAAAAAAATCCAAATTGCAGCTTGATACTACTTTACACTAAGGAAAACAATAATAACTTGAAAACATCATGAAAAATGGTCACTTTTAGATCACGGATCTACATTAACAGCAATATATTTCACTGAAAGGATTCAATGACCAGCTAGAACCAACTACCATTAGCTGTAGACCTTAATACTGCCAAAACACACCAGAGCTAAGGAGTTCCAATTTGGGGTCTATTTTGGCCCAAAGCCACATTTCATACTAAAAATTAAAATTAAAATAGTATTCTCTTTTCTCCATGAGCTATTTTGGTCGATCAGTTCATGCAAAAGTGTAGCAACGTACGGACAAAATTTACATCAAAGAAAATACAATCAAGAAAAAAAAGTAGCTTTTTCAGAAGGAGTCAATAGGAAGGGCAAGAGAAGGGCCGATTTAACAGTGCAGCGACTAATTTCCAAGAAATACAAAAAATATTGCAAATCTTATAATGATAAATAATAAGTTAATTAATACAAGTGAACAGTGTTTTTGATTAACTGTGCTTGCAATAGGTTTTGAAGTTGTAAAAAGATACTCTTCTAATACTCTTTCTGTGTTTAGTAAGTTTTAAACTGACAGTTTCTATTTACATCATCACATTAAATTTCAATTTTATTTTCATTCATAAAGACGTTGCCTGCCACACTAGTTGTATCAACCTGCATTTGAGGGTTCTGCTGGTGCACCATAAGTTGTTTCAACCAGGATACTATCACTTGCAATGCTCTTGTGAGGCTACCGATCGTCAGCATTGTGTTCATGCAAATGGCTTTTGATCAGCATGGCCCAAGCGGGCGAATGTAACACTAAACTTCTGCTCTTTTGAGGGAAAGGGCGCAGGGAGATGCTATGTTCCAGGAAAAATATGAGCACAAAAGATCGTGGCAGGCAACGTTTCACCAAATAGTTATATTAAGAACGTATTGATTCTTGTAAAAAATATATATATATATATATATA